TAAAACAAAACCACCCCAATTTTATTATGCATAAAGATGACACTGAATAATAAAAGCAACCTTTTCACTTTGGAGCAACTGACTGCCCTTCTGGAGAATTTGTCCTACTCCGTATAAACCCACCTGACCTGCTGGTCTCCAGCTATCCCACCTGATTCTTTCTCTAATATTGGCAGAATACTTGCTTTTTGCCCATTCCTTTAAAATCATCAGATACTCAGATCACCAGATCAGACACACAGCTGATTCTTTTAATACCCCTGGGTACCAGCTCTCCAAACCTACTGAGATTTCAATATTCAGGTTATCAGCTGGTTTTAACCTCCTGGCTTGTTTCGTTCCAGAGCCCAGCATTCACCATCCCACCCTATCACCTCTCTCCACATCCCTGTTGATTCCCAAAGGACAGAATGGGCACCACGAATTCTGCTTTCTCTAAAGAGAAGTCCCAACCAGGCCTCTGAAATGCCACATCCCCAGGGTGGACAAATCCACGACCCACCTTGAAGACCAGGTGGCATCACCCGCTGGTGCTGGCCAAAGATGTTCCTGCGATAAGGGACGACGCTCACGACCTGGACATGCAGCAGCTGTGCCCACCACAAGCCCAGACCTCTCCGGGACTTTGGAAAGTCCCCTCCCAGGTACTTGGGGGGCTGCAGACACGTCCATGGTAGGAGCTGGAAGACGGGTGGTGGGTGTCTGGCATCCCAAAGTGCTGCTGGGGTGGGGTGGCTGCCCGCCAGCCCAACGATGGCTTCACCTTCAGCTCTTCCAGGCTACACATCCTGCATGTGGCAGTCCCCAGCATCAGACAGAACCACAGTACAGAACCAACAGCCATTATATACACAAGAAGTTTTCTTTTCCGGGGCCTGCCTGCTGGGAAAGATCCCATCAGCAGCTCAGATCTGCCTCAAGCAGAGGGCTTCTTGCAGGCAGGGCTGGCAGGAGCCAGAGCCTGGTGCCAAAGGCAGACTGCACCCCAAGCCCAGCTGGCAGCTCAACTACCCCGTTCTCCAGCCCTGTTAGCCTCACCTGGTCACCGAAAACAGCAAACAAAGGTCTCCAGGCTGGGCTCTCTCCACCACATGACCTGGGTGTCCCTCCCAGGAACAAGGAAAAGCAGGTATAAGCTGAGAAGGCTCCTTCAGAGGAAACTTTGAGGGGCTCTGCCTTCCTCTGATGGGAGAAAATGCCCAGGAAAAGGTCTTTTAACTACCTGTTCTGGTGGTGAGGCAGTGGCCTAGGTTGCCCAGAGAAGCTGTGGATGCCCCATCCCTGGAGGGGTTCAAGGCCAGGCTGAATGAGGCTTTGGGCAACCTGGGCTAGTGGGAGATGTCCCTGCCCGTGGCAGGGGGTGGAACTGGATGGGCTTTAAGGTCCCTTCCGACCCAAACCATTCTGTGATTCTGTGACTGCACAGCTGCAGCCAGCCCAACCCTGACACGCTCAAGGGAGAGACATGCAACCAGCAAGATAGATATATAGGGCTGAGGTCCGAAACCATTTACTGAAACGGAAAAGGATGGAAAATTCACATGAAACCAAAGCTGGACACGCAGGAGGAGGGATGATGCTTGGTCAGGTTTCTTAAAGGGTTGCTGTATTTCTGATCTTTCGAAGAGCCTCTTTGTCCCATCCCACAGGATGCTACTTTGGGAAGGTAAAAGGGTTTTTTTCCTCCACCAGAGTGGTATAAAAATAAATCTGTCAGCTCCTATTCTATACATACATATGGGCTGTATTTATTTTCTCTGGGAAAATATTACTCTATCAGTACCTGAAATGAAGTATAATTTTAATTATTTTCTCTATGTTGCTGAAAGCTTATTTTTATTTGTACAGTAAATCTCAATCTTCTTAGGTTAGGCAGCCCTGCAATCTTTTTTAGGCATTGATGCAAGGTATGGCTTATACACCAGCCTGCTCCAGCTGTTTGGGAATGATCCTCGCTGCCTGTTCAGGTATTTCAGACACCATAATCCTGCTTATCAGCCAACCTGGGCATCTCATCTGCAGTCCAGCAAACCCCAGGGTATTCACTACAGGAGGGCTAATCTGGATCCTAAGAAACGGGAACACCTGGGACATGGGGAAACCTGGGGTGAGGAAGGACCCGTGCAACACAAGAACACAAACCAGGGTTCACTTTCTTTAAAAAAGAGGCAATATCTGTACTGGGATACAGTTGGGATGGCAGGAAATTTAATTCTACAAGTGAAGACTTTTCCTGTCTCTTTTGTTTTTGGACAGGAGTCTTGCATCTGTCTTGGATCACACATGTAACTGCAAAGCTTTGGTGAAGCTGGAAGACGTTAGCCATCAGAAACCCACCTGTGCTTTGGGGCAAAGGCTGCCTTGCACAGACACTGTGGGGACGACTGAACCATGGGAGCTAAGAGACAGCTGTGGAAGCAGCCTGAGTTTCCAAAAGGCAAGCAAAACACACACCAAAAATATGCACTCAGCAGCAGAAGGGCAATGAGGGGTGCGATGGAGAGCTTGCTCCCTGCCTTCACGGAAAAGCGTGGGATTTGCCACACGAATGCCACACCTTCAACACAGCAGCCTGGCTGGCGATAGAGAGCAAGCCTTTTTTTTTTTTTTTTCTTCTTTTTTCTTTCCAGAGCAACAGTTAGTCTCTGAATGCCATGTAAAAGACAGCAGCAACCATAAAAGGCCCAGACTGACTGTCTGTAAGGTACGCAGGCAGGATGGGCAGACGCTCATCCCACCTGGGAAAAAGAGAAACAAGAGCAAGGAGGTTGGGTGGGTAGGATGAGAGACAGCAAGTGCCAAAAGTGCTCTGAGATCCTCCAACTGACCGAGAGCCATGCAATGAAACACCATGAGATAAAGACAACACACCAGTGGACCCGCACCACAGCCCAGCTCGCTCCTGTGCCCTGCGGAAACCTGCCTTCCAGCCCTTCTGCCTTCTAGTGCCTTCCCCAGGCCAGGGACACCTCCACAGGACTGGCACACGGAGCCTCAGCAGGGGCAAGATGGTGGGAAGTTGATAACAAAAATAAGATTAAGAAAAAAAAAAGCCCCCCCAAAAAAAGCCATCTGAACCAAAGCAACCAACAAGAGCAATGGCAGAACATGCGTGGCAGGGGAAGAGTTGTTATCTGCAACCTGAAGGCAGCTCCTTCCACAGGGAATAGTCCTGCTTTGTCCGTTCTAGTCTTTTTTTCCTAGAGACAGAAGTCACTGCTGGAGGTGTCAGGGTGATCCGGCAGGGCTTCTGCCCCCCCAAAAAAAGCCATCTGAACCAAAGCAACCAACAAGAGCAATGGCAGAACATGCGTGGCAGGGGAAGAGTTGTTATCTGCAACCTGAAGGCAGCTCCTTCCACAGGGAATAGTCCTGCTTTGTCCGTTCTAGTCTTTTTTTCCTAGAGACAGAAGTCACTGCTGGAGGTGTCAGGGTGATCCGGCAGGGCTTCTGCCCCGGGGTGCAGCTGGCAGGGGGGTGCTGGGCTCCCCCCCAGCACTGAGCAGTCTCCAGGGAGTCCCATGGGAGCACTGGGCAAACCACAGCTGCTTTCGGGCTAGGAGAAGAGAGAGAAAACAGAGCATTGAGTCATTTGGCAGTGTTTTACTAGTACTGATGGGGCTGGTGACCCCATTCCCATCCCCATGCCTTCCTCCAGGTCCTCTCTCGGTGGTGTCAACCCTTTGCTTCATTGACAAGAGGCTGAAAGCCCATAGAGGGCAAGTGCATCCAACCTCCTCAAGCTGGCACCAATTTCCAGCTCCTGACCTGACAACTGACCTTTGCAGAGCCTGACCAGGTATCACAGCCCTGCAGCTCACTCATGAAACTCATTTGTAAATCATAAGCACCTGGACTTGCATCTGAAGCAAGCAGCTGGGTCTTGCACCCTTGCTGCACCCCTCCTGGCAAGCCAAAACCACACCAGCTGCATGAGGTGGCCACTGAGCTCTCAGAGATGTGTCAAGGCTGTTCTTTAGTGCTCCTACTGCTCCCAAACCCCTAGGCAGGACCAGAGTCCAGCTCTTCAACAGAGTTAGAAGGTGCCTGGTGTATTGAGTTGGAGGAGATGGAGAACAGGAGGACCTGAGGTGCAAAGGGATGTCCTTCAGGAGGAAGAAGAAGATGCTTTGACAACATTTGATGGCCCCAGAGGTTAACACAAGAGCAGGTGTCTAGCACTGAGGAACAAGCTGCCGTGGGGACAGCAACGGCCAGAGCTGGGCTGGGGAGGCAGGACAGACCCACCCTAGACATCTCCCCCTGCCTGGTGGGTGGTGCCACAGGCTGGGGAAGCATCACTGCAGAGACCGGTTCCTCCAGGAGCTGGACCAGCTCTCTCTCTGTTATTATCTCTCACAAATGACTACCAGCCCCAGCCCAGAAAGCTGACGGTCCTTCCAGACACACACGGATTCTGCAGCAGGGAGGGGGGAAAGGCCAGGCAGCCTTCACTCCCTATGCCCTCCCCAGGCAGTCCCAGTTTGGGCCTTTGGCCTGGATCCCAGGAGAGTCACTTGTGGGGACAGCCCTGAAAGGCAGCGTGACACTCAGATCCAGAGCTGCAGACCTCACCCTGTGACGCTGGATGGCCAGCAGCAGCCAAATGGGCTCTCGACACACCAGGAGAGACTTCCACAAGGGAAAGACCTTATGACACAGCAGATCTTCATTTTGCACAGATTTGTACCACCCTTCAAAGCTCACCAGTGCACGGCTGAAATTACCCTCCATACAGAAATGGCAATTAAACAAACCACGTGAAAACCAGACTCAGAAACAAGCCACCTTCTAAAGGGAAAAAACCCACACTCTCATCTTCTGCTCTTCAACTCAAGATGCAAAGAAAAGCCCCTAAAGTCTTTCCTTCTGGCCATGCACCAGCTAGAGCAAGGTGATTCCTGTCTACTGACCAGGCAGCACGTGCCTCCGTGTGCCGAGACCTCCAGGAAATCACAGCACCAAAAATACTGAGCACAAGAGCAGAGAAAAGCCCTTACCCTGTGCCTGCTCTCCTGGCTCGGCGCAGAGGTGTACGTCCCGTAGGAGTTTGTGGGGGAGATGCTCCCGAAGTGCCCTGCAGCCGAGCTTGGAAAAGGGTCCTGGCGCATGGAGGGAACAAGGCTGAGCTGCTTCTCAGGATTAAGCTGGTATGGGGAGGAGTAGAAAAAGCTGGAGTATGGAGCCTTCTCTTCCTGGGACCTGCTGGTGCCCACGGTTTCCATGCTGCGTAATCCATTCAGGTTAAAGTGGACCACCGGTATGCCGGGCCCTGGAGCCACGCAGCCCTGGCGGAGGGAGATCAAGTCTTGGCTGATGCCATAAAACCCAGACTGAGCCTGGGGAGACCCCAGGAGTGGGGAAGCATAGTCCTGCCATGGGCCAGGGCTGCTGCTGGGAAAGCGGTGTGGAGCGGAGTCGGTGCTGTGGCAGCACAACCCATTCATCCGCAAGTGATGATGTTTCGGCTGGCTGGGAGGTCCCACGTGCCCTCGGCCCTGTGCAGGCAGGGAGAAGGACTGGTGAGCATCCTCTAGAGTGGCATGCATGGCCGGGAAGTCACCCTCTAGCTGCAGAGCCCTGGGAAGCTCCTGCGGGCAGGCAGGTCCCTGGGACGAGCCTGGTTCCTCATCCCACAGGGTGTCCTGTGCTGGATGGAGGAAGCGGAGCAGACCCCCGTCCCCAGCTGGCCTCCACTGCGAGCCATCAGATGGCTCTTCCTCCTCCTCAGCTGGCTCCAGCAGCAGCGGAGATGGCTGGCCTGGTACAGCATGGAGGGGCTGTTCCCAGAGCAGAGCAGGGGGCTGGTTCGGGGCAGCGCTGGGCTGCACCATGGGCCGGGGCAGGTACTGTGAGTCCTTGTCCTCCATGTGGGCCTGGTATGTGGTGGTGCCTCCACATGGGCTTGGGGACGTGCCTGGCAGGGGACAGACCTGTTGTCCTTCCTTGTGCTTGTTCACCAGAGCGGTGTGGATGTGGGAGAGAATCTCACTGCTGGTGACAAAGTCATTCAAGGATGGGGTGTGGTTCAGGTCCATATTGACCATCACCCTTTTCTCATCCTGCAGCAGGAGCTCCAGGTCTTCGGAATTCAACCCCAGGCCCTCCAGTGCACTGAACAGCTCGTTGTTGGAACAGCTCTCCTCGTTCTTAATTGAGAGCGAGTCCAGGGTGGCCAAGAGAGGGTCTTCCTGCTGCACATCCACGAGCTCCCCTTTTAGGCTGTCCCCTCTTGAAGAACCTGGAGCAGCTCCCATACTCCAGGCACCTCCTCCTGCATCGAGCAAGGACACATTCTCGAGGTTATCCACGAAACTGCTGCTGAATGAGTGGCTAGGTGCGGGAGCTGGATGGGAGATGTATGCCGCCTTGTCCTGTCGCATCACAGCACCCAGCAGAGAACTGGGGTCAAAGCCATCCTTCTGGGAGCAGCCTCCATGGCTTTGGGAGATCTTCTTGGACTTGCTGGTTTTCCCTTTGCTCTGGAAAGGGTCAGGGAAGCCTGGGAGAGGGTAAGCACTTTGGTATAAGAGTGCCTCTCCTGTAGCAAAGGTAAAGGGAAGATGCAGGGACCGTTTCCGAAGGTGCTCTCCTCCTTCTTCATCTCTGCAGGGCAGGAAAAGGAGACTGGGGTTTGTATATGCACAAACACACACCACAAAATGCTTCTACAATGGATAATTGTGATTGCTGCAAGCCAAAGCCCTTTGCTATGACCTGTGTGCATGTACCGAGCAGACTGATGTGTTTTTATATGTGCACACACATAAAAAAACACATCTGTAGCATAACCAAGAGGATATTTGAAACACAAAGGCTAAGAGAGCTCTGCCAGACAGAAGTCATACCTTTGCCCTGCTCATCTACGCTGCAGCCACCCCTGAAGACAGGGATTTGGGGCTGCTAACATATGGCAGCCAGGTTTGAGGTCCTTGCTGTCCCTCCAGCTGCTGGAGAGCAGCCACCAGTCTCCCCAGGCTAGGTCTGGACTGGTGCCCAGGACACCAGGGCAGGGATGTGAAGTGCAGGGCACTGCTCAGCGCTCTCCCTTACTTGCAGGGCAACTAAGGGATGCGGCTGAACAGCATCAGAACACAGTATCCTAGAGCTGCTCCTTTAAAAAGGCACAAGAAGCAATGACGAATCAAACATCCTGCCCTGCTTGGGGCATCCCAGAGCCCACACCGATAGACAAAGCCAGCCTGGCCTGACCCAGATGGCACTTACATGAGGGGTCTCTGCGTGACAACGATGTACTCAGGCTTGCCATTCTTGTAGACGAGCCGCGCATTGGCCTGCACCCACTTCCAGCGGTTCTCCTTCGTCAGCAGGCGGAAGACTGTCAGCCCGCTTTCCCCCGTCTTCATCACTGCCAGGAGGAAGCACGCATGTCGAGGGCTGCCGGCACGTCACCAGAGGCAGGGCTGCCTCCAGCGATGCTGCTGTGTCCGGCCAGAATAATGAGGTGGGGTCACAAGCAGTAGCATGTTACACACAGGGGACACCAGCCCAGCTAAATCCCCTTCACTACACACCACCCCAACCTCCCCGCGTTGCCAAGGGCATCACTGCAAGTGTCGTGGTTTAGAAAGGGCAGAGGGACAGTCCTTTGTCAAACACCTGGTGGGCTGAGGCAGGGACAGGGAGGGTTTCACTCAACCCCTTAGGGTCACAGGCAAGAAACCCACACGACTTGGGAAGAACACAAAACAACAATTAAATTTATTAACTATTTACAACGAGAAGCAAGATACTGAGAGAAATAAACCCCCCTTTACCGCTCCCAATTATCATATTTTTCTTATCCCTAATCCCTCAACCCCACGTTGGGCACCAAAATTGACTGTACCTTCTCCCCTATCCCCTACAGTGCAGGGGCGTCAGGGAATGGGGGGGTGGGGGTGAGCCCTTAGCAGTCACTTACAGGAGCCACCACTGCAGCCCCTCCCTTGCTGCCAGCAGAGCTGGAGTCCAGGGAAAACCTTTAGCAGCTACTTACAGGAGCCATTGCTGTGGCCCCTCCCTGCTACCAGACAAAACCCCCACACAAAACCACAACAGCAAGGCATCAAGCAAAGCATCCTATGGGCAAAGTGTTGCCAGGCTCCACACAGCAGCCGATGGAGCTGCCCGTAGCCCAGCCCGCTCAGCAGCAGGCACAAGGGATCACAGAAGGGACTCTTACTCCTCACGTGGTTCTCAGCACAGTGCAGCATGTCGGCAGCATGGACAAACTGGTAGCCAGTGCCATGCATCCGCAGCTCCGCCTCGGTGTAGCCCAAAATGATCTTCCCCCTGCGGGAGACGGAAAATGCAGCCAGCTCAGAGGCAGAGCCAGGTGGGATATCACCCAGGCAAGGCAGGGGATGGATCGGCAGGTTGGAAGCTCTGCTCCTTACTTGGCATCGCACGCCAAGGGGGTGAAGTCCAGCTTGTGCTTCGTCCTGAAGATCATGTTCTTCATACGGATCTGCAGGATGGACGGGGGCTGCAAGGGGGTGGAGATAGCGAAGAGAGCAAGCTGGGGTGGGAGTGCAGACCCATCTTCAGACCTTTTGTTCTGCCCATGAAGGAATTTCAGCCTTCCTTGAAGGTTTAAAGCCTGGGAAGAGAAGAAAAGTTCAGTGTCACACAGAAAATTGGCTGAAGAGAGAAGAGAGGGACGGAAAGCAAGCCATCTCGCTGTAGAGTTGATGCAAACAATCCCTTGTGACTTGTCCCTTGCGACTCCAGTGCTCCCCATGAAAAGAAGACAATCAAAGTGATGCTCTGCTGAGCTCCCTGCAGCAGCAGACGAACTGGGCTTGGCCGTGCAGCGCCTGCAGCACCAAGCACGTGGTGCAGCAGCATCAGCGTGTTGCGCAATGCATGGGACTGCTTTGCCTTTGAACTGAGCCATATCACAGCCCTGTCAGGGATCATAGTGGTGCTTCTAAACAACGGACAACCAAGACTTTTTCTTCATATTGAGTTTCCAGACTGAAGGGATGAGAGGGCGAAACAGCGGCATTACACCTGTGGTTGGGGAAGTAAGAACCCCACTAAGTTGCAGCAGAGAGGAGGAGGGATGATCACCACCTACTTGGTCTTAAGAGATGCCTTTAACACATAAACCCGGCAAAAGGCGTGGAGGAAAAGCACTTTTGTTCGAGATTCAGCATCTCTGAGAGGAGAGGAACAAAACCCACACAGAGAGGTTGGAGGTACAGGCCCAACCTATGAAAACCAGCAGAAATAACTCCTTGTTGGGACAGGCAGCTGCTGCACATGGCAGAAAGGAGCACCAGGTCTTTCAAGGCCAACTTTGATGCTCCAGCAGTGGCACGGACCCCTTGGGGTCAGCCTGCACCCATCCTGCTGCGGAGGTCGCAGCACAAGTCTGTACTCACCAGGAAGCCAGAGGAATTATCCAGGAGGCAGCGAAAGCGGCACACAAAGCTCCTTTCCAGAAAAGAAGAGTTTTCTGGGGGCAGCTGATCTGGCTTGTAGGCGACAGCAGAAGAGCCGAGACTCTTCCCCTCTGTGGGAGAGAGGGACTGGGAAAGGAGCAAGCAGGGGTCCCCAGCAAGGGCTGGAGTTCCCCAAAAAGATCTGGGTGTCCGCAGCATTGGGGACTGCGGCAGACTGCAGAGCAGAACAACAGAAACCCATGGAAAGCCACAGGGCTTTGGATGCAGCCACAGCTTGAGCCACAAGGTCGGAAGCCCCACGTAAGAGATGGCAGGGAGCTGGGGTCCCCAGAGCTACACGCCTCGTGCCAAGCGGGATGGCCGGCTCCCAGCCTGCATTTACCTTCTGGAGAAGCATGGGGTGGGTTGAGAGCCCAGTGGAGATTGCGTCTGAATTCCTGTTGGTCCTCGGTGTGGATCAGCTCAAAGACGCTCTGGTGCATCACATCTGTCTACAGGAAAAAAAGCAACACGTGAGTTCTGTGGGCCTGTCTCCAGGCACCAGCTTTCACATCCCGCCTGGAAAAAGCCTGTCACGGGCCCAGTTTGCCATATCTCACCAAGTGCTCAACTAGGTCCCTGGCTGAATGAGGTTTGACACCTTCCAGCAGAGTTGATGCTGGGGGGAACAGACAGCACATCTGGCTCTTAGAGACCCCTTGCCCGTGTTGGGCCAGACCTGCTCCCCTGCCATCCACCAGCGATACAGCTCCCCTGTGGCAACACGGTGCCCTTCAAAATCCTCATGGTGTTAAGAAATATTAGTTGTTTAGCTTAAAAAAGTAAGTTTTGAGTAGAATGAATCGCTTAGAGTTGCAAGGCTGTGTGATTTAGTGTGCTATTTACTTACCTTTCCTTACTCAGTGAGTAGCTGGATTTGCTGAAGCCTGAGGCCACAAGTTGTAAATTTCCACTGAGGTCTATTTTTCCTTTTAGTAGCTGGTACAGTGTGCCGTGTTTTGGTTTTTATTAGTGGGAGAATAATGAAGATAGCACACTGAAGCTGTGGTTATGGCTAAGTGCTATGGCTTAGCATTTATCCCAAATCTGGAGATAAGAACAAGTGACAACCGGCCGAGGGGCAGAGGAAGAATCCAATGAGGTGTTAGAAGGTCTCAAACCAAAAATCATCACTGGACCAAAAGTCGCGTGAAGTGTGTGAGGGGCAGGGGAATAGTCTCTAAGGGTATAATTGCCACGGAGTATCTTGGCTCACTCTCTGGAGGAACCCATTTCGAGCTGACCCTGCTGCTGTACCCATTTAATAAGTTAGGGTTTTTTTTTTAACTTTGATGCCAGAGAGAGAGTCTGCTAAAGGAAACCTACGGAGATAACACCAGATGCCTGGATGGTGTGGGCTTCCTTAACATATGGGATGGGGGGAAAGCACAGGTATGGCCACAAAACAGCAGCAAAGCCACCCCAGCCCATCACTGCTACCGAGAGAACAAGGCACCTCTGCTTGGGTGGACAGCCCTCATCTACCCCAGATGTTGGGGAAAGCCAGATGTGGGAGCAACACCAAAACGCAGCAGCTAAAGGACTGCAGGTAAGTCCTCCTTCCCCGTACATCTGACCTAGCACTCAGATAACCACAAAGCATCAGAGCCAGACGGGATTTGCCAGGGGTCACCCAGAGGAGTGGGTGCCAATGGGACAGGGAACCCCAGGCATCTCACCATGGCCATGAACCTCACAGCCTGTCAACGTGGCTGGTGGAAAGCATCTGCAGGCTACCAAAGTTGCTCTGACACCTCCCCGCGACCATGTCTGGCAACTTGGGGTCCAGATTCACAAGAGCAAGGAAAAGCCCCACACAGCCCCCTCCGAGCCCCTGCAGAACTTCCTCGCTGCAGAGAACCTGGGGTTATTCTCCACCACTAAGGAAAAAATCCACTCTGCAAACCCACGCCAAGCAGTCAGAGGTGTCCCACCAACCTGATGAAATCCCAGATAGTCCTGAATCGTATGCGAGGAATAAAATATCAATCCTTCCGATGTCACCACCAGCACGAAGCCATTGAGTGCCTAGAGGGGAGAGAGGAGATCGGCAGGTACGTGCCATGCTCACATCATCCTTTTCTAGCAGGATGGCGAGTTTCATTCTGCTCGGACACTGGTCATCCAAGTCCTGGCTGGTCCCAGGAGGAGAGGAGGCAAAGCACGGGAAGCCCTGGAAGGAAAGGAAGCCGTTCTCACTGCCGTAACACTGGGCACTGCCCCAGCTCCCACCAAATCCATCGATGCGCTGTTCAAGCAGCTTCTTGCTTTCATACCCTTCCTGCAGAATGAGAACAGCACCAGAAACCTCCATCATTGCGATTGCCTCCATGCACGTAACCTGCCATGGTGCCACAGCACACGCAGCTAAAATACATGTTTTCTCAGACCTGACTCTACCCAGTAGAAGTCAATGCCTGCAGCTCATTCTCAGATTCTCCTCTGCTCTGCCTCACTTGGGTAAACTCCACCAACTGAAGGCGGCCCAGAGAAAAACGGGGATCAAGTCCAGCAGGGCTGTGCTTGCCGATAAAACATGCAGCACCTTCTGCTGGGTTTCTCTGAGATCACGTAGCTTTTCCATACAGTTGCCTGAGCATATGTAAATCTGAACTGATGGAAAACTTTGCTTCCATCCCAGGAGTGGCTGCTCAGGCTCAGCTTTGGACATTTATTCTCATCCTATGCAAAGAGCAAATAAAAATCTCAGAATCGCTTGCAGAACAAAACCGGACAGCATCAGGAACAGGTCCGTTGTGGTATTCTGGTGGAAACAAGCTTTTCTGACAACCTTGAATCAAAACAGTGTTTCACGTCGGCTGCATTTAATGTTGACCCGCGTCTACCTGGGTGACTCTCCTCGTGTAGTTCCCATCCTCCCTGCAGCCTTGGAGGGGTCCCAGCAGCCACGTGTGGGCTAGGACAGCGTGAGGCTGGAAAACCTGGGGGATGCTCAGTGGAGCAAACCCACCGCAGATCACCACCTGCTGCTGGGCTCACGTGGATGGGGATGCTTCTGCAGGTTTGGCAGCTTTTGGGAGAAACCCGGCCAGCTCCCGGTCTCGTTCGCATCCCTCCTGTCCTCTCCAGCTGCTGGAGGAGATGCCTGGAGAAGGATGGTGGTGCGCCCATGAGGCAGGGAGCAAGGGACCAGCGTAGAGGTGACATCTCCACTGCCTGCTCCCATCCTCCTGCCAGCCCTGAGGTCAGGAGGCAGCCAACCCAACGCTGCAAAGAGCCTTAACCAGTGAAAACAGAAAAGGTGAAAGCTAAAGCATAAGACTTTGGGTTTTGAAACTGTAGCGAAAAAAAAAGTCTGATTTCTGAAAAGCTATTTTCTTCCAAAGCAATAGGGAGGAGAGGCTGAGGCTGGTCCCTAGGCTTGCAGGAAAACCGCAGGCTTCATCTCTGAGGACCTTTTCCTTTTGGCAAACAAATGATTCATTCCAAACACATACCCAGCAACACCTGGCACTCATCCACTCTGCACACCGTCATCCTGCCAAAGCCCCACGCGGCAGCAAAAGCACCGAGCATCAGTGTTCACAGGGGAACAGGGCGTCGGCAGACACCCCTGCCCAGGACACACACATTAGCTACAAGACACTGCCCCAGCCACCTTCCTCTTCCTCTGGAGCTCTCTCTCTGCGTGTTGGACAGATTTACACCCCGTCCCGGAGCACGTGCTCATTTGTGTCCCAGCCAGGCTGGGGTCACTCACTGAACACCCTGCTCCGTTTTCACAAAATTAATATTCCGGCTCCTTCGTGTGTGCAGGTTTGAAGCACTAAGCCCTCCCCAAAGAAAACAGCAAATGCAGCCATCAATCTGAAGTTTCCAATGCATTTTTAATACTACACAACTTATATATTTTACAGTTCGCTGGCCCTTCCATCCTCTCCTCAAGCTCCAGCACTCCAAAGTCAACATCCACGGGAGCACTGCGCTCCCTGGCAGGAACGGGCTGAGCTGATCCCTGCCTCCATCTTCCTCAAGAGGGGTTCATTCCTACCAGCGTAACAAATTGAGGAGGTAATTTGGGTGTTTTCTCCGAGTCAGTAGCCCCAGGGCTGGCAGGACAGGATAGAGGAGAAGGAAGCAGGGTGCTGGCTGACTGTGTCCTTTGCCCCTGCAGATCTGTGAAGAGTAGAAGGTGCAGAGCAGCTTCCCTACTAGTTTGGGAGTGCAGCTGATGGTTCAGGAGCCCTGGCTTGTTATCCCTGCTCTCTGGCACTGGCTAGGAGCCGGTATGCACAAGAGGATTGCTAACACAGGCACCGGCAGGGTCAAGGGGAGCACCCCTGCTTGCTGCAGGCACGTGGGCACTGCACCAGCCTTGGCCAACCATGGGGAGCCCAGTGCTTTGAAGACCATGTCCTCCCTTTGCCAGGGCTGGCAGCAGGTCCATAAGAGTCTCCCCTTGTGAGTGAGTGGTTGGCATCACTCTGTGAGTCAGTTTCCCCAGCTCTGAAATGATCCCAATAGACTTCCAGCAAACAGCCTAAGGGCAAAGGACATGAAAACCCCAAGAAAATCACTGGTTTAGCTCTCCAGAAGACGAACAAATTTCACAGCTGTGACAGCACCACCCGGCCACCCCTCCCAAAGGGCCACAGGTCCCTGCGGGGACATTCCTGCCAGCTTGAAGCCCTCTAGAAGGCAGGGGTTCTCCTGCAGCATGGACCCCCAGAAGCTGTCCAGAGCCAAAACCATCCTGTACCACTAATCTGGCTGCAGGCAGGGAAGCCACAGTAGCCAGCCCTGGCTTGACTCTCCTGCTTCGTAATGTATAGACATCAGGATTAATTAGGTTCTAGCATGTAGTCTCAGCCAAGTTGAGCTATTCTTGCTGACAACTCCCATTTCATTGTCCAGGTCGGTGTTTCTTCCCCCCTCTCTATCCCTTTATTCTGGGCACAAACGCCCTCTCTATTTACTGGGGTTGATCTCAGTGTGTGGGAATCTGCTCCAGAGGTTAATTATTGCTTTAACCCTTTGAGCAACTTTGGAGGCATCGCTTTGCCACGACAGCAGCAAGCAACATCTCGCAGCACTCTGTCTGTCCCTAACTGCACCGACCAGATGCAGATTTAATATCCCGCAGCCAGCGACGTGGATCTGCATCGCTGTGCACCTGGGCAGAGGCGGTTCACCCAGTTCCCAGCCTTCCTGAAGCTTTGGTCTCTTTAGAGGTATTTTAACTCCAGTTTAAGAGACCTTCCCTCTCCTGAGATTGCTGCTGGAGAGAGTCTTAGTGGAAAAGGAGAGGCCAAAAAAGTTTTTTAAACACGTAAGAGCATTTCCTGGTGGCACAGGGCAGGTCCTGAGCCCCTGCTGTATCCAGCATCACACAGAGAGGCCTCTGGAAGAGCCAAACACCCACAGCTTCTAACACCCAGCTTGGTACCTCTACAAGAATCACAGACTGGTTTGGGCTGGTGTCGTGGGTTAAAGATTGCTTAAAGTTAACTCTGTGAGGTTTTTTTTTCTCCTTCTTCTTCATAAATACCTAGCAAGAGGCTGTGTTTTGGATTTACGCTCAGAGGAGCTGATAAGAGAATAATGTTTTGTTCTGCTACCAAGGTCAGCAGACGAGCAAAGAGGCACAGCCGGTTGCTAGCATAGGATTTGCCCTTATGTTAAGACAAACTCAGAATAGCCAATGATTTATTCCATAACATGCACATCATGCCCAATATATAGGTAAGAACACTCGGAAGAGTGTTCTCTTTTGCCTCTGCTCCGTTTTTTCGGTGCTCTCTCCTGGCTCCGCATCGCTCTCCAAGGCCTTCCCCCCCCTTCCACCGCCTGGGACGCTCAAATCGTTACCTCCGTTCCGTGAGTTTCGGGATCCTTCTTCTCCGGGGGGATCATTAGCTGTGGCCAGGTGGTCGTTTTCCCCACTCTGGTCTGGGATGCTTGGGCTGTTATCTCCGTCCCATGACTGCATCCGGGAGCGGTGCACTCACCCCCCCCGCCCCTCCCCATTTGGGGGAATCGTGAGTATACTTCTGGGGATCGTGAGCTGGCAACAGGCTGAGCCTTTGGTCAT